AGAGCAGCTGGCCACCATTCGCATGGCCAGCCAATGCAAGCTAGCGGCAGTTGTAAGGGCTAAAGCTGCAGTCCATCGCGCTGAGGCAGCATCTCAAGCGGTCGCTAGGTAGACACAAGTCTCACAAGGAGCGGAGAAATCGAATAACAGGTTCGAAGTTCTGATGATCAACGTCGCCTCTGACGACACTGCCACAGGAACAACGAATCCTGCGGAATCTTCCTGAAAGGCCCCTCACGGGACCCTTCCAACCCCCCACCTACAATAAGTTTTATGTCAATCAATGTAGGTAGGGGAGGCCCAACACACGACATCGCGCTTTCCCGAGCTTACGAGCTTGGTGTAGATGTAGTGTTAATACAAAAGCATTCGTGGAAAAAAGCCACAAAGGAGACAAATTCACACCCTGGTTACGACTACCATATACCACATGGCGGCGTAAACATTCGGCCTAGGGCAGTGACTTATACACTAATAGACAGGATAATCCACTCGGCAACTCAAATCTTTCCTTGCGATCCCCTGACGGCAGACTACTGCTGGGTTGTAGTAAACGGAGTCACGTTTCTCAACGTGTACAAAGAGCCGAACGACCCAACAGCGATCCGAACACTCTTCAGCTGGGACCTACCAACACAATCTGTCGCAGCAGGAGACTTCAACGCGCTGCACTGCGCCTGGCAACCAGGGGCTACCTACCCAGGCAGACAAGTAATTGAAATCGAGAGATGGGTGGAAAGCCACAATCTCACTTGTCTGATTGTGGGCGAGCTAACGCATCGTGCCGGGAACAAACTGGATCTTGCTCGGACAAACATCAACAGGGCCCAAGCATGGGTGGATTGCAACGAGTGCGTAACTAGCGACCATCTACGGATTCGAGGACGAGTCCCCACCGGATCCGGAAACAGGGACCAGGAGTCTTCACAGGTCAGGGTAACTCGTGTAAACTTGCCGAAGTTCGCTCTTGCCTTAACTCAATCGACACATGCGCCACTAGTCCTAGACACGGCTCACAAGGCGGAAAAATACGCCAACGATCTCTGCTCCGCCCTTACTAACGCTATATTAGCAGCAGGAACACGGAGGAACACAAGACACGGCAAATGTGCGCCTTGGTGGACTCCGGAATGCAAGCTAGCTCGCATGGAATATCGTGCAGCAGTGACTCCAAAGCAACAATGGGTGCATGCGAAAAAGCTGCGCTCAACCCTCGGAGAGGCAAAGAAAGAGTACCAGACGCGTCAATTCGAAGCAATCACAACACCGACTGCCGTGTTCGAGCTAATGCGCCCGGCCGAGCTAAGACAGGCGAGTGTCCCCCCTCTGCTGAACCACGAAGGGAAGATGTTCGCCGATCCAGCCGAGCGGGCAGTGATACTCCGAGACGCCCTTTTAGCACGGCACTAAGCGGCGGACGATCTACCGTCACTCGATGCGCCGAGCACGAACCGAATCCCCTGGAATGACCACGTCTCAGACGAGGAGATACGCATGTGCACCATAGGCTGTGCCAACACAGCGCCTGGAGCGGACGGGATCTCTGTGGAGCTTCTACAAAGCTGCTGGAAGACGATTGGACCATTTGTTGGCACTATCTTCCGCGCCTGCATCAGACTTGGAACCCATCCATCCTGCTTCAAGCTGGCTGAAGTGGTGCTCATACGCAAGATGAACTGGGATCCAACAACAGTTAAGGGCTGTAGACAGATTGCCCTTTTGTCATGCTTGGGTAAGGGACTGGAACTACTCTTGACAAAGCGGATGGTCCATCTTGCGGTTACGCTGGATGTTGTTGGATACCCATAATTTGGCGCGCTCCCTAAGAGATCGGCAAACGAGCTTGTCAGCTGCGTAGTCCGCGACATCGAAGAGGCAAGTACCCAGGGATTGGCGGCTACATTTACGACTCTGGATGTCCAAGGCGCGTTCGATGCAGTTGTTAAGATTTCTATCTTGATGTCGACCCGTACAAACATACTGTATTGTAGTAACTCATATTGATACTCGGGATTGCGATGGATAGCAGAGATTGATGGTGTTTATGGCAGTACGGGGTCTGGTAATTAGTGACAGGGATAGGACACGTGTATATATATATTGCGCACTTGACTCCTCTTCAATATGATGATGCTTCCGACTACATCCATAATGCCGATACTTACTCTGAGCTAATCACCCCTTACTATATCAGTCCTATCTTCTTATTAATGCCCCTTCCGCAATTTTATCTTAAATGACAGGTTGTGATATTCTTCGACTTGCTGGCCATCATCAAGTTCAGAGTTATGGACAGATTAAATCTTTAACAGCAGTACTTCAAAATTTATTGGTGAGGAGGATGCAAGAGCAGGGTTGACCGGACTCAATTCTCCGATGGAAGACATCATTTCTTGTACAAAGAAAGGTGCAAGCCCGATACTCTGGAGGGGTAACTGGGCAGAAAGAGCTGGTGTGTGGGGCTCTGCAGGGGTCGCCAATATCGCCACTTCTCTTCCTCTTGTATATGGCAGAGCCAATGCAAAGCGGCAATGCAGAAGTAAGGTTCAGCTACGCTGATGACGTGTAGATACTAGGATTCGGGCGCAGCATAGCCGAGTCAGCTGCTTCTGAATACAAGGAAGTGAACCATCTTCTGAAGTAGGCAAGCACCATTGCAGTCTCCTTTGATACCAATAAGTCGGAGGTAGTCCAGTTTCCCGGACGCAAACGCGAGAAGCCAATAGGCATTTGTGTGAACGGCGAGGTTATTGAGCCGCAGACCAGATACGCTGGCTAGGAGTACACCTAGACCCGCGACTAGACTTCAAACATCACGTCACGACGTGGTGTGGCAAAGCTCTGAGGGTGGCCCAGCAAATGCGCCGCTTCAACTCAGCATATCGAGGAGCTGATCCTGCAGCACTGGTTCGGGCAGTGGACACGTGCATTTTCCCCGTAGCAACCTTTGGAGCAGAGGTTTGGTGGCCCGGCCTCAAATTTCCGACCAAAAGGGGAATCATCATACCTCGGACTAGCATTTTCTGCGAGATGATCAATAAGGCAATCCTAACGGGACTGCATGCTGCCCTCCCGCTAATGAGAACGACACCGAATCCTGTTCTCCACCGCGAAGGAGGTATCCCAGCAGGAAAGATCATTCTGGAAAGGAATCGACTTCGGCTTTCGGCTCGGCTCCATTCACTAGACCACCATCACCCGCTCCGGACTCGCGCCGCTATGCGTCCAAATGATGGAGCACGGAAATACAAGAAATGTTCTCGGGCGCCCAAGAATCCAGAGATCCACATGTCACGAGTACAGCGTGCTTACCGAGAGCTCCCGGATGCGGAAGATGCTGAGCCTTTGCCACCCCCAAGCTATCTTTCGAGTTTCAACTCAAGGATAGAGGAGGAAGATAAGGCAACTCGGTTCACTGAAAGTGTGCCGGCATCAGATGTTTGCGCCTACCCGGATGGATCGTCGGAGGGTAATAGTCGCTCAGCATGGGGGTTCGTCTTGAAGAGGATTGGAAAAACTCTGTTGAAGGGATGTGGCATCAAGCATGGTGGTGAAGTGCTTGATGCGGAAATACTAGGGGCGAGGAAGGACCTGGAAGCTGTGTTGGAAATACAGTTTCCTGCTTTTCTTTCTATCAACCAATGTGGTTGCATGCATCTTGCCTGAACTATATTTCTGAGTTCAGGCAGGAGCCCGTACTTATGATCCAATCGGACTCCACGTTTGAGTCTGCTTGAATCCCATTCTTCCCGAACAAATCCAGTTATTGGTTTGTTCGTATTTTCTATTGCATGACCCAGTATTCTGAGTCAGTGGATAATTATTTTCTGGCCTGGGATCTCACTTATTTCTGCAGTTGAGTCGGTTTCGGGTAACCTTTCTTCCTTGTAATTCCACTGTATATATGATGGTACCTGTAGTCTATTAGTCAATTAAGCAAACTGAACTTCTTCTCTGTCCTCAGGCAATTCTTACTCCGAAGTCTTCTCTATACTCTAACAAGCTGCGCTGGAATTGTCGGAGAGGGAGAACGGGGGAAGGAGGTAGCTATGGCTTTGAGAGAAGTAAAGTTCATGAGTTATACTTTTAGGACTTGAATCAATGGACGAGCTCGAGGATATTCCGTAGTATTCTCAAGTGTGTGAATAATATGGACATTGTTTGAATTTTCTATTGTATAGATTGCTTATAATATCTATGTGATAGGACCTTCCTCTACATAGATGAATAAAGGGGTTTCTGCGCACTAGTGGATGTTCCAACATATCTCCTTTTCTTACCAAGAAAGGAAGAATGTGAGAGACCCTAGCGCCAATAGATACTATTAGGAATGTATTAGGAAATACTATGTGTTAGAGTATAGGGAAGACTTCGGAGTAAGAATTGCCTGAGGACAGAGAAGAAGTTCAGTTTGCTTAATTGACTAATAGACTACAGGTACCATCATATATACAGTGGAATTACAAGGAAGAAAGGTTACCCGAAACCGACTCAACTGCAGAAATAAGTGAGATCCCAGGCCAGAAAATAATTATCCACTGACTCAGAATACTGGGTCATGCAATAGAAAATACGAACAAACCAATAACTGGATTTGTTCGGGAAGAATGGGATTCAAGCAGACTCAAACGTGGAGTCCGATTGGATCATAAGTACGGGCTCCTGCCTGAACTCAGAAATATAGTTCAGGCAAGATGCATGCAACCACATTGGTTGATAGAAAGAAAAGCAGGAAACTGTATTTCCAACACTATGACATACCAATAAATGATGATCTAGGTCTATTGTATCTCATGGCGCATGTGCACATTATTCTAACGTGAACTGTTTATTGTAATGCAGTCACATTAATATCCTAATTACATAACATTTTACCATTACTCCTTGGAAGATAGCTTCCACCTCATTATTTCTTTTATTTTATTGAAATAAACTACTATTTGATATATCTCACCTGGTAGAATTTAATTTTTAGCTTTAAAGTCATTTGGATATGCGAATCACCTACTTATTGTTCCTGGAACTATATATATGAAGGTATGATTGAAAATTTTGTTTTGTGGATATCTTCTACCAAAATTGGGATCATCTGCAACTAAACTTGAATGGACTACATTGACTTTTTCCTGTAGAAGGGATGTTGGAATGCGTCGGCCATTACAAGTGTAATCACTCATAACAAGTCCAGGGAAAATAATGCTCAAAACTGCTGTCAATGATGCAAGAGTAATAAACTTCATTTTTAGAGCAACCTTGATTAAGTGAATATTTTAAAGCTCGGTAACTTTGTTGACTTACCAAGTAGATTGGAATTGAAGGCTCTTACTGAATTTTTTGCATAAGATTTGGGTGCTGCTAAAAAGAGTCTGGTGATGGAAAGAGGAAAGTAAAACAGAACTGAATACAAATGTGTTGTTGGTGAGTGCTCAAGGTTTGCCCTTTACATACTTATTACTTCATATTCTTTAAAGATTGAAAATTACAAATTGAGGTATAATGAGAATTTCAATCCTTGTCAATTACTTAAAAATTGAAGGCTTGAGTGCTCCCACAAGCTAAGTGGGGATGCGGTTTCATCAAAGCCTGATGGTAGTGTCTCGTCTTCATATTTTTTAGTCATTTATTGGTCTCCTTCAGTCAGCTAGTTATTGTACCAATCTCTCAATATTTCTAGTTAATTCATATTTTTATTATGTACGTATTAGTTGTGCTACAGGAGTCCATGACTAACACATTGGGCTCCTCTCTGACCCAGGCCACGCCTTGTACAGCGCTCCTAACCTCTTTCGTTACTTGGAAAACCATTGATATATTGCCCGTAATGCATAACCATTCAGCTCGGTGTTTACCCGTGGAATCCGGCCATAGTTTTTGCTGAAACTTCGACCCAAAAAAAACATAGTGATGGGAGCTGCATGTCTGTGGAAACTTTCGAAAAATATGCAGCCTCTGCCCTACTTATTGTTTAATATGCATCCTAAATGACAAAGTCCTTGGATATTATTTGGATAAGAGAGAGAATTGGATGATTTAAAAAGATTGGTTTGTGCTGATAGCTATTTATGAAGTACTATTATTACAGACATTTGGTAAAACATGGCAATCAAAGTTTATAAAAAGAGTCTGAACAGCCGTGAATATATTAGATTTCTTGCTATCAGTAATCTAGATTTAATTTCACTGCAGTTGATGTTTCAGTCAGGGTGTTGGTGTTACAGGCTTACCGCCTTGTATGGTTAAAATCGGAGTTGTCTGATTCCATTTGTAATGATTGTTAATGTGACATTTTTTGATAGCCAAGTTCGGGTGGCTTACGTAAGGCTCAGCATATCCTTAATTGCGTAGTTCATATACTCCTTTTGTTATACAGAGTATAAACTCCATTTTGGATTCACTTGTGCAAACAGCTAGCGTGACCAGTCCTTTTACAGTCGGAACAACCACAGGACATGGCTCAGCCATGCAGCTAACCTTGTTTTCATAGCTAGAGACAACTATGCCTCCTTTTCTTCCCCTATTTCTGTTGAAATATGATATATCTTGGAATACCACAAATAAATGTAGGTCTTGCTGGTTAGAATAGTAAATTTCACGTCCTAAATTATTGTTATCAATACATCCTTCACCGAAAGTTTAATGCGCATTAGCGTTTATTTCACACTAGCATTCCAGCGGATGACTATGTCTCAAATGCAGGTTATAGTTTTCTCGTATTTATTACCAACACACATGTATTTAGCTTTATATTCCTGGCTCATATATGTGTATGTACATAGATCTACATCTACATGGATCATAACTTACGATCCATGGAGATTGATAAATACTGGTCAAAAACCACAGTTGATAAGTTATGCAAACATGCAACCTCACTCTTATCATCTCGGTTTTACTCTGAACCCTACATCTAAATACAGTTGTCTCCACTCGAATCTTCCTTTCACAACCTCATAAGAGACTTACTGCATCGGTCTAACTGCCGACACTGATTCCGCTACAACCTCCATCTTCGCTAAAGCTCATAACTTTAACAGAAACCATGCCTAAGCAGCAATGAGGGGTGTCAGGGGGAGCTAATTGGCGGGCAGATGTGACGCCCCGACATTTTTAGTGGCCACGTGGTTGTCAGTCCAATAGTTGGTAAGCCAACACAGGGACAATTTAGGGAATCCAACAACTTCTTTCACACACACACGAGTCTTGTGTGTGACAAATCACAATACAAAAGATTTGTCATGGATATTGGTTTTCATGCAAAACCCTCGGGTTGTAGGTAATGAGGGACAGGAGGTTTTGTGTTGGCAATTTTATTTGAACATTTGATCTCCTATTTATATGTATACAGATTCATATCCTCCTAGATACTTTGCTCTTTAATTTAGTAGCTTATGATTCGAGTCTACGCCAGCTTTTGACCACTCGCCAATTGTCTTATGTCTCTCGAGTTTCCACAGCAGCCTCACCAGCCAGCTTATCAGCTAGTTCTTTACCTGAGATAGCCACATGGCCAGGCGACCAGATCAAACAGACTTTACCAGCGGCTACAATTGCCAGAATTCTCCTTGAGGGCCACTGGGAGGCGAGATTTCGGAATTCGAAAACTTCTTACTGTGAGGTTTTAGAAGGTGTTGCATCGAGAAGGCGTCGCACTGCCTCTTGATTGTCTAAAATTACGTGGATATTGGATGCTAGGTGGGTAGAGGGAGCTGCTACAGCAGCATTAAGCCCTGCGAGGGCACTGATTATCTCGGAGTCATAGACCTCAAAGTCGGGGCCAAGCGGGACTCTCACTGTTGCTACAGTAGTTCCCCTATGGAGAACAATGCTACCTACCCCGGCAGATCCATCTTTTTGTTAAGAGCCGTCCGAGAAGACAGGGTTGTCCCTTGGTGGTAGGTTTCTAATGCGCTGGAAGGCTTCTTCTGAGGGATGTCCAGCCCAAGTAAACAATCGGAGGATCTTCATACGAGGCCGTTACGAGCCGAGGACGGGAAAATGGGAGGAACGAGCTGTACTTTTCCATTTAAACGGGTGTGCGCCCGGGAATCATTGGGTCTTTTGCCCAAAGGGCGAAAATGGTCAGCAGCGGCTATTCTAATTGCAGATTTAAGGCGTGTCTCTTCGAGTAGAATATGTTGGAAATCTAGACTCAGTATATATGAAGGTTTAGATTTTTAGGTATGATCATCAAGAGCAATTGTATTGACTCGATTGTATATAGTTAAGCTTAGCTGGGCGACGTGAGGTTCAGTGGCATCTGGAATGCAGTGGCTAGGAAATGCTACCTTGAGATAATTGAGTGGCTGGTTGTTGCTAGATCACTTGGAGTGTGGAATCACTAAAGCTTCGGGGATCTGTATTTGATGATAGACTTATTTGTATAAATCACGAAGTGGGAGAATGGTAGAGAGGCAGCCTGGGGAAATGAAGATAGATTGGCTATGTAAGGAGAAGAAGGAGTAACTACAGCGAGATCTATAAACATGGGGTGTAGGTGTTGGCTAAGTAATGCCAAGACTAGATTGGCATTTATGTCACGTGTAGGTGTTTCATGTTCAAGCACCTACACTGCCTTGCTCATTGCGTGTATGGAGCCCTGAGGGCATAATTGTATATGCTAAGCTAAGTTAACGGAATTTTGTACATTATTAATTCATATTGAGAAGAGAGTTCGATATCCTATACAACTATCAATAAATTCTTGTCCGAAATAGTGCATTTGTTCTTCGAGATATTTCCTCCTGGAAATCCGTGACAATTTCTAACGGAATATGTGCCGGTTTGAGACACAATTCCCTGGGAGATGCTGCAGTGGGTGTGGTTTTTGTTAAAGTTATGAGCTTGAGCGAAGATGGAGGTTGTAGCGGAATCAGTGTCGGCAGTTAGACTGATGCAGTAAGTCTCGTATGAGGTTGTGAGAGGAAGATCCGAGTGGAAACAATTGTATTTAGATGTATGGTTCAGAGTAAAACCGAGATGATAAGAGTGAGGTTGCGTATTTGCATATCTTATCAACTGTGGTTTTTGACCAGTATTTATCAATCTCCATGGATCGTAAGTTATGATCCCTGTAGATGTAGATCTATGTACATACACATATATGGGTCAGGAATATAAAGCTAAATACATGTGTGTCGGTAATAGATACGAGAAAACTATAACCTGCATTTGAGACATAGTCATCTGCTGGAATGCTAGTGTGAAATAAACGCTAATGCGCATGAAACTTTCGGTGAAGGATGTATTGATAACAGTGATATAGAATGGGGAATTTGATAGTCAAATTAGCCGGACTTACTAATGAGTTATTCTTGGCATTCCAAGATATATCACATTTCAACAGTTTTGTTTACTGGTAGAATTGCTCTAGCCAGGTTGACTAGAGCTCAAGAGACCATGGATACAAGGTGTTTGGATCGGGTAGAATTCAAACAGCCATGCCGGACATGAGTCTCCACGACACCATACCTCAGCACAGTACAAAAGTACCGGAAGTGCCGCAACTTGGCTGCAGTGCATAGAAAACTTGTTGGTACCACACGGTTGGTACTTCCAAGCTGTCGAATATAGGCAGTAATCGGTCGGGTTTTGGCGCTCCATTCCTGCACATGTTGCTTGAAGGAGAGCTTAGTGTCGAGAATGACGCGTAGCCACCTCAGAGTAGAGTTGGTGGTTTTTAAAACGCCATTAATGGATACAGGAAGTGGAAATTGACGGGATCTATGAAGATGCATTATTTCCGTCTTGTTTTCTGCCAACAAGAGTCAGTTCTGATTGCATCTCAAGGGCGAGGTTATGACAGTGTTTCACAGGATGCGTGAATGGTCTAACAAAGATCTAGGTAGTAGATAAAGGTGATGAGTAGGTCGAAGGGATAACTGGTCTTTTCCAGGAATAGACAAATAGGTAGATAGTAACAGTAGAGGTTACTGTTATGAAACTGGGTTACGAGTGGAAACAGATATGCCTACACTATAGGTTGACCAAGCTAGTGTGCAAGCTGGTGAGCTGTTGGGGTCTATCTGTAGGGGAGTTATGACTGTGGCAGATGAGAGTTTAGAATGGTTGATTGATAATATCTGTTGGAATGAAATAACAATTGTTATACAAATAAAGATTTGACAAAATTACAATACATATTTCCAGTCATATATACACCATTCATAGTCCACGAGTGATCCAGCTCTGTAGAGCCAACACTTATGTCTTCTACCCGTGTCCTAAACAGAGCGGGTGACCT